TCATTAAAATCGTGTAAAATTTCGGAAAAATTGACTATCGGATCATCAATTCTTTCTCCAGTGTCATGATTCTATTGAAATTCAAATTTTAATCAAACGTTTCAAAAATATTAAACAGATTTGAACAAATATTTATTACCATAAGATGTCTAGCTATATCACCGTTTTATTCCATTCCAGTGGAAACCGCAAATGGAAGTAATCTCATTAATGTAGCAACTCGAATCTGTATGAGGGTTTTATCTAACGAACCCCTCTCACATATCAAATACGAAAAGAAAATTCATATATATTTTTTTTTTTGTTTTTAAAAAAAAAAAAAGGTTGCACGTCTATACCACTTTACCATTAATTTAGCCATGATTACTTTTATATCTTGTAAGAAAGCTCATACGATGTCAAATTTTGCCTCCTGCTCATATAGATTCTTATTAACATATGATAAGGTGTTAAACCATGCGACATCATTAAACATAGGCCAAGGAATGACATTCAACTCACCCTGAAAAATTCTTGAAAAAAATTATTTTCCCCCTCCTAAAAACATAAGAATAAATAAGTCGGTATTGGAAATTAATCGAGAAAATTTTGCCCGAAATTCCCCAACAATTTCTTATTTTTCGGACATGGGCACATCCTTTATGTTAACACATAGTTTCGCCTAAATCATTAGATATATAAATAAAATTAATAAAATTAAAATTTCATGAGATTACATAAAAAAAAATATTTATACCTGAAACAACTTTGGATCTGACTCGAATAACACAAGTTAAAAATCTTAAAGACAATAAAAAAAATCTACTTTATATTCAGTTCCTTCTGCTTTAAAAGCTATTATCAGTTTAATAAACTCTTTTTTTTACTTTACTTTTTCATAACATTGCACCATCCTGACATCTTTGAAACATTAAAGACATGCCTCTATTAATCGCAAAATGACTCTGTTGTAGTTTTAAAAAATTCTATATCAGTAAATAATGAATAACGAATAAGGTATTGATAAAAAAATTCTATAATACGAAATTACCTTAAAGAGTACAAGATTTGACATGATTGTAGCAAACTGTGCCAAAAATAAATCTAAAAAGTTGTATAAATATGAGGTCGGAACCGGTTAAATTTTTAACCGGTTAATTAACAATTATCTTGCTAACTAATTAAAGATTTTTTTTGACCGGTTAAAATATCTAATCTTGAATCTGCCCGGATATATTCTAACGAAACTTCAAAGATACCTAATGACGAAACTGCCAAATCCGAGAGACGAAAACGAAAAAAAAATATTAATTTGTAATTAGTCATCGACATCCACAATTACTAAAAAAATATTCTAAGATCTTCCGATCGAAAATAGGAAAATCAATTTTTTTATACAGGATAATAATTCAAAAATATAAAAAATCAAATACAAAAAACTACCATTTCCGAACCATCGAAGGAAGTTCCCAAGATGATTAAGAATTCCTTCATACCATCCAAAAGATATATTACGAGTAATATGACATCCATCAGACTGTTCGCTTTCTGCTTTTAATGTCCCATCACACAACGGTTGGAATTTGTGATTCTTTGATACAGCAATTTGAATTGGAATTAAACATAGCAGTTGTATGATCCATTCACCAAGTTGGTAATTAATCATCTTATTTTTCTTGGATCGGATTAAATTTTCAATATTAAACTCTGTGAAAGTGCTTACACATGTTGAAAATTCTTTCAAAACATTCTGCGGCTTGTTTGTTTCTATTTGAACATATCTAATATATATTCTTCAAAGTTTGTACGATATTTACGAAACTTTTCAATGGAATTATTATCTTGTAAAATATCTAAAACTATATGTAACAAAGTAACCTATTTTGTTCATTATCAATTGGATATTTTTCAAACATTAATTTATATGAATCTATAAATCCATTAAGTTTTGTCTTTGGTTCAATAAGAAAATCAAACCATGACTCAACACAAAAGGGAAGAAACGTTGTCGGCTATCTTTATTTTTCTTTATCAGTTCCATAAATGAATCCTTGATTTTTGATGCCGCATCCAATTTTACTGTTAAATTAGGATACTTTGAAAAATAATCCCTCGATCTCTTATTGTGAAATAAAAATTGATAATAAAAATAAAATAGATATTATACAATAAACTAAAAGAATGAAATTTACCCTTGTTTTATCAACTTGATCTGGTTGAGTATCTTCAAAACATCTATAATACTTGATACAATTAATTTGTTATTTAATAAATATTGCATATGAAGATAAAAATATTTTTACCTATATAATACTTTAAATCTTTTACGAGCAACCATTTTTAAATCTTAAGTAATATATTGAACAGCTAGCACTTCTTGCTTTTCCCTATTATCAAATTCTTTCTCTCAATGCAACGTTCATGTAATCAATACTTTTAACTAATTGCTTCTTCAAATCATTTCTATTTAATCCATAGTCGATAAGAATTTTCAGTTTATTCATGTTCATGGTTGAACGATTAATTCTTATAGAGTAATCTCTCCATAAATGCATAAAATCACCGAAATATGATTGTTTTTTAGTAACGCTTTCCTTTTTCGTGTCGTAAGGATTAATTATCATTTGTGTAACAAAAGCTTGACATGAAATCGATTCAACAACTTTAAAAGGAAAAATAATGTCAGCAAATTTTTTTTATTTTTTTAAGAAAAAAGAGAAAGGAAAGAAGCTTGATATAAAAAAAAAATCAAATTTACCTTTTGGATGTAATGATTTTTCATTAAAAGATTTAATTTTAATTTCTGATTCAATAGCCTCTGGTAAAGGAATCTAATATAATACATTATATTAATGAACAGACCATCATATATATGATAGGAAACATAAATTAATTTAACATATGACATACGTTACTTGTTTTTGACTATTCTTGACCTCGAATCCATAACACGTAACATCATCATTGATTACAACCGAATGACCGGTTGAATCGGTTTTATTTAAATTTTGTTTAATTCGGATCTCAAATTAAAAAAGTGTTTAAACCGGTTCCAACCTCTAGCATCTTCGATGAATTAAAATTTACATTGCCTTTTAGTTTATTAAATGTATCTTACGATGATAATATCCTTTACAAAAAATATGCG